GGATTACGGCATGAGCCCCACCAGGCCCTGCTGGCAAGGTTTCTTACACATCCAGCAGGCTTGCCCGAGCCCAAATTTCTCCTTCCAATCGGCTTTCCTTTCACGAGACCAGCCACATCATTCTTACTCTGTTACTGATTGTCCAAGAAGAGCAACATCGAGGGTGTTTAGACTTCTAGAGTACGTATTGAGCCGCCCACACATTACCTGTAGGGCTGACTTGGTGATTTAAATGAAAACGCGAATGGTGATTGTTGCAAACGACGTGTGTTGAGGTCGTTTATCGAGGTGAATTTCATCTCATACGTATCGTAATTAAGACAGTAGCTGAATTCCTGATCCAAAAGCTTCAAAGATAGCATTCCTTCTGGCCTGTGTCCTCGACGAATCCCTCACTTGCCCCTTAGAAGTTACCCTGTACAGCCAGCACAATTTCCAAGTCGTTGAGAACTGCTCACGAAGTTGTGCGCGTTGTCACAGCGCCCTTTGGCAGGGGGTTACGCTGGGAGCCCGAGCGAAGGGGATAAAGTTGTAGACATGTGGACGGAAAGTGGATCGCACTGGCGGTGGCCAGGAGAGGAGAAGGAGGAGGGGGATGTGTCTCCCAGGCCAGCAGCCTCTCCCAAAGGGCAGGGAGCTTGTTTTTCAATTGACTTAAGGCATTAAGATCCCAGGGGAGTGCAGCCTCACACATTAGCACTGATTAGCTCGTCAAATCACCAATTAGCACTTGGTGCTCAAAGGCAGCAGCCACTGGGGAAGAAGCCCTCCATCCACTTCGCCGCCCGCAGCGACTGACTGCAAAACACTTGGGCTCGTGAGCATGGATTCCGAAGAGAATTGATTCTGAAGACAGCGCTCTCCTTCCTTCTGTAAGGAAACCCATCACCCGAGCAAAGATCCCGACCCACTGACGATGGCGGTGGCCCCAGTCCATCCAGGGTGTGCCCCGCTAAGGAGCTTGCAGTCACCCCCAGGGTGGCACGGGTGAGTTAGGCCTTCTGTTTATGGTCCCCGCTATCTCACCCTTTTCTATTTCTCTTTTGTCCTTGTTTCATGCTGTGTGATGTGTGTTGGAACACAGGTCCCTGTGTAATTATAAACAAACGCACAGACCTGCCCTGGGAGGGAGGTAAGGGTGAAACGGGGTTTGGCGGGTTTGCCCCCTGGCTGCCCCGAGGCCAGGAAACAGGGGGCCTGGGCGGAGGACGGAGCAGACCCGGGAGGAAGGTCAGCCACTCTCAGGTGGAGGCTTCCTCAGCTTAGCCTTTGTCCACTCGGGATTTGGAGGCAAATCACAGCTTTGGTCCATGGGCAGTTCCCAAAGGACCCCAGTCTTCCTTCCCTTCCCGAGGCCCCACACAAGCACTCGGCTCACCCTCAGTCTAATTCCAGCCTTTGCTTCATGCTGTGAGAACTTGCAAGCGAGTGAGGGAGAGGCAAGGGTTTTATTTTCTGTTCGGACAGGTTCCCAGAATAGATGGAGAGAGTCTTCTCTGGTCTCAATTTATATAAACGTCCGTGGGGCCCTTTGCCATCCCAGAGTCTCTGTTTAAAGGCCCCCAAAACAACCCCCTGGGAGAAGCTGGTTCTGTCCTGTCTTAAAGATGAGCAGACATGAGGTTAAGTGCCATATCAATTCTCATGGGCCTCATGTTCTCACATTGTTAGCGGTGATGACACTGGATTTGTAATTTAATTAAATCAAAATGTAAATAGCAAACTCTACAAATAAAGTACAAGAAGTGTTTCACCCTAAAATAATTCAGCAAGGAGTGAGTGGGGAGTGAGCCTGTTACTTAGAGAAAACCAGATAGATTGTTCTATTATAAATATTTTTACAAAAATACGAGAACATCATATTCTTTGAAGAATGAGGGCTCACATCCTGAGTCCCATGAGAAAATCTTGCGCGCGTATAAAACATTGCCAATTACAAATTTAAAATCAAATAGTACCAAGGGGGAGCTGCTTTTTCGGCACTTGAAGAATTCAGCTTACAGCGGCCAAAGAATATTCATAGGAATAAATGTCACTCATCTCACAGATGGAAAAGCTCATTCCTGAGCCAATGAAGATGTGGGTGCCAACACATTCCGCCCCTGAAAATGGCCACAGATCCGATGACCGGCGGCTCAGCAGTTTGGAATGAATAGCTGAGACAAGCTGTAATTTGTGGGCTTATCTCATTGCTCTTTTCCTGAAGCATATTAACATTTCATTTGTTTGGAGCTTCCCAGGACCAAGAAGAATACTGAGAGAAAAGTTGGTCTTGGAAATTTCCTTTTCCCAAGTTTCCCAAATACTTGCATATTCAGGCAAAATCCAAGTCCATCAGAGGAGACCTATATTTGGGGATCATGGAGTCGTGGTGTTCCCGGGGCGGATTAAACAACTTTAGCTCACAAATGAGTCCATTCCGTTTAAAGCCCATACGGTTCCCAAGGTAAAGTTTGAATGTTGCCAACACCAGAGTCAATGTGACGTTTTTCATTCTTGAGAAAGGAATATCGTTATTTTCTTTTTAAAACGATTATTGGAACACAGCTTGGGAACAAGCTGATCTGGAACTCAGACCGACCTACTTACCCCTAAACAGTCACGGCACACACAGGGTAGAAAGCAGACAGCCCCACACATCCACGAGCTGTCCGAAATGAAGGCAGATGGTCTCTTGCCAGACATGCGGGCTCTTGTTTTTTTAAACTTTTCCCACTTTTGGGAATTCCAGGGGGGGAAGTTTTTTCCTTGAAAACTTTGGGGGGTTTCCGGGTGAGGCATCCCGTGCAGCCTGTGCCTAACTCCCCTGCCCACGCCAGGGCTCACCCCGCTGTGACGGCCACAGCTCTGAGAATACTTGGACCCCTCTCTTCACTAATGTCCAGTCGAGCCCAGCAGCAAATCCTGCTGGCTCTACCCTCAAAATCTGCCCAGAGCACCCCTTCTTCCCGCTGCCCTGTGCCCTCCTGCTCCCAGGCCTGTGGTCCTTCCTAGATTCTGGCCAGGGCTCCCCACCAGGCCTGCCAGGCCCTGCAGCCTGTCTGCAGTCAGAGTGATCCTCTCGAGGTGAAGGTCACATCCTTCCTTCTCCCCTCAGCCCTCTGGGGTCTCCCTGCCTCCTTCCAGCAAAACCAATGTCCTTACAGTGCCCCACGGGGTCCCCTGAACTGCAGGGCCACTGGCTATGCCTGAGACAGCTTGTCCCCTGCCAACCCTCTAGCCCGGGACCCCTGATGCACCTCTCAGAGCCTCTGTGACAGGGGCCCACCCACTCCACAGCTCTGGGTCCTCTACTGGCCTTCAAGCCTTGCTCACGTGACATCTCCATGAAGGTCCACCTGGCATCTATTTCACACCACAACACGCCGCAGCCCCTCCCCGTGCCCAGCACTGCTGCTGTGGCTGGCTCTGTCCTTCACTCACAATTGCCTCCTGATGCCAGAGAGTGGGACCTGAAAGGCGGTATCCGGGTCTTGACCCCTGAATCCTCCCGAGCCTCCAGGACAGCACCAGGCATAGAGCAGGCTCTCTGCGAGCAGGGCCGAGGAGCCTGCCAGAGGGAGAGCTTTCCTAGAGAAACTCGGATTTATCTGGGGAAACGAGGCAGGATGCCCCGCAAATTTCAATCTTAACTATCGCCTTTCAACAACCAGCTCTAGTGAATCTGCAAAAGGTGGACAGTTCCAGCAGGAGAAAGGCCACAGGCCTCATGCAGGCTCCTTGGAAGAGGGGGCAGGAGGGAGTCTCACCCAGAGGAGCTGGTGGACCCCCTGACTCAGGGAGGGCACCACCGGGCAGATGCCATGCTCAGGCCACCGGGGCGAGCATCAGGAAGAACTGGCTCAAGCCACGGCCCCAGGCAGAATCAGAAACAGGAGGAAGGGAAGGCAGGAGGAGGAAGAGTTGGTGAGGATGCTGGGCGAGGGCACAGGGCAGGAGCCAGACAGGAGACAAGCCAGGCAGAGCCCGACTTTCCGCCAGGCTGGAGGGGACAAAGACTAGTCTCTTACTAAACACTGGGCTGGAGGGGACAGAGACGCCCTCCCTCACTAAACACCAAGCTGGACGGGAACAGAGACGCCCTCCCTCACTAAACACTGAGCTGGTCAGGAACAGAGACGCCCTCCCTCACTAAACACCGGGCTGGACGGGGACAGAGACGCCCTCCCTCACTAAACACCAAGCTGGACGGGGACAGAGACACCCTCCCTCACTAAACACTGGGCTGGACGGGCACAGAGACGCCCTCCCTCACTAAACACCAGGCTGGACGGGCACAGAGACGCCCTCCCTCACTAAACACCAGGCTGGACGGGCACAGAGACACCCTCCCTCACTAAACACCAAGCTGGACGGGGACAGAGACGCCCTCCCTCACTAAACACTGAGCTGGACGGGGACAGAGACGCCGTCCCTCACTAAACACCGGGCTGGACGGGGACAGAGACACCCTCCCTCACGAAACCGGAGACAACTCATTGGAGCCCTCTTCTGAACCAGTCCCCATGCTCGGTGGGCCCTCAAGAGTAAGAATCCCACCAGCTCAGCCAAGCTCAAGCCCCTCCCTTGACAGCAGATGGGCTCCTCACCCCTCCATCCCCAGGGATGTCTGATGGTCCCAGCCTGCCTTCAGCCGGAACCCTGCCGGGGAGGCTCAGCGTGAACCCCGTCACCCCCGTCTCTCTGAGTAATTTCCCATCCGCCCTACCCTGCTCCCTGGTCCCACTCCCACTTTCCTACTGTACTCAGAGCTGAGCCCGGTTTCTCTCCCCCAGGGCGAGAATCCCTCCCTGTGGTCCTGGAAGAAAATCTTTCTTAACGTCCTGAACAAGTGTCAAGATAACTTTTTAACAGGATCCAATGTGTCAAAGCTTTAAAAAACAGAAAAACCAGGACTTTCACTCTAAGCAGGCTTCTGGGGAGGAGGCAGGGATGGTCACCTTCTGAGCTCCTCCGAGCTCCCTCTGGGAACCAGTGGGCACCTTTTCCTCTGAAGAAACGAGGCCTAACAATGACACACTCACTGCCTTACAGTTTAGTCAGAATAAAATCAATCAAATCGTATATTCCAATGTCTCGCTTACTTTTTACCTTATTCATATTAACATCCCTCGTGTTTTCCTAGAAGGGATTTGATATAACTGACCACACATACAAGCACACACACCCCAAACATCCTATTATATATATAAACATATATATAAAAAAACATATATAAACACAAAGTGCATCTTCTTGCAGCAACTCTGTGAGTCCTATAGCGAAGATAAAATTGTTACTGTCTCTTGATAATTGTTTTCAGGAGACGTTAATGGCTTATCCAAAGTCACACGGTAAATGGGGCCTTCTGGCTCCTGGACAAGGGTGTGCTCCTTAAGTTCTATAACAGGCTGTCAGGTTCACTGGAAAAATTAACATTAGAGCCATGGGAAGGTGCCATGATATACTACTCGTGAAAAAAGCTGACTTGTGTAATGTCACGGTCTTTTGTGAAAAGTAAAAACCGTGTATGCAGAGAAACAGAAAAAGAACAGCAGGGTCTCGCTTTTATTTAAAAAACGCAATGTGTGGGCGGGGGGCAGTGGCTCAAGCCTGTAATCCCAGAACTTTGGGAGGCCGAGGTGGGCAGATCACCTGAGGTCGGGAGTTCGAGACCAGCCTGACCGACATGGAGAAACCACATCTCTACTAAAAATACAAAATTAGTTGGGTGTGGTGGCCCATGCCTGTCATCCCCACTACTCGGGAGGCTGAGGCAGGAGAATCGCTTGAACCTGGGAGGTGGAGGTTGTGGTGAGCCGAGACCGTGCCACTGCACTCCAGCCTGGGCAACAAGAGTGAAACTCTGTCTCAAAAAAAGAAAAGAAGTGTGTGTGTCACGTGAGAAAAGAAGAAATGCCAGCTATACAGCAACATACTGGGTGCTGGGTGTACAGATGATTGTCTTTCTTTTATTTGTCTACATTTCATATACTTTTTTGATTTTTTATGAGAAAATCAAGGTTATCATTTTTTGAACAGTCTGAACTTAGGGTGTGTTACTCGAACCTGGCAGCAGGTGTCAGTGAAACCTTCTTGCACTACATGGCGGCCTTTCCACCCAGATGCCGTTACCTTTCCCTAAACTATCCACTGTCTTTATTCCCAGAGTTTGCATTCCTCTGGCCAGACACTAAGGAAAAACAAAGGGAAGCTTCCAGCACCAGTACCATTAACTCATAAATGCTATTTAAAGTCACCCGGGGTGCAAACAGACAGGTGTGATTTGGCCTCCAGTTACCCATCTGACTTCTTCTTTGGGGTCTGCAATGCTGATTACTGGACACCAGC